GTAATCGAAGATGAAAAAGAAGACCTGAAATTTTGTGAACAATGCGAAGTCCAATTTGAAAGAACCGAGTCGATCGCTAGAACTACTGGTTTTAAAGCCCGATATAAATAGGCTTACTTTTTCTTCACTTGAATCATGATTACAAGAATCTAGATTTGAGTGAATTCCTTAAAACCATTTAGAGTATCAAACCAGACCTATATATGTTTACAAGCAGTATGACAATATACAAAACTATCTTGCGTATGCCACTGTGTGTGTGTGTGTTTTGGGTGTTCATCGTTGTGGCATTTATGGAAGGTTATGCATGGGTGAAGTGTAAGAGAAAAGAAGATAAAAACTGCACACAAGTTTTTAGAGTAGCAAAAATCATAGGTCGACCAGGTAGAAAATTCTTTGCAAAAAATCGTTATGTTCGACTTAGCTTGTTGAAGAGTCAGCATGATTTTGAGATGTTGATTCGTCGACTGAAACAATTGGTTTCTCAAGAAGATGTACAACCCATTTCAAGTTTGTAATAGGTGAAAATTATTACACATCTTCTAGATTTCATCAGGCAGTAAATCTCCCTAGACTTTCAAATTTTAGTTAATAAAACTATGGTTTAATCTACAAGTATACAAATCAGCATTTCATGATTTCATTTTATTCCTGTATAGCAAAGCTAACTTCATATTTTATTGGATCATGAATCGCATTCTATCATCCTGTATTCAACTCTTTTGAATAATTTTCAGACACTTAAAAAGATACATAAAATAAAAAATACAAACAACGAATTGCTAAAATTTTATTCAAAAAATATCTTAACATAGAATTGATATAGTTTTCTTACATATCTTGTAGGTTATATTTTTTGTTTTTCATCATTATTTATGTAGGAATATAAATTAAAGATATGAAAACAAGGAGGATTTGTGCAACATCAGTAAGGATGTTACAACTAACAAGTAGAAACTACATAAGAGGAATGTGTAATTCTCTCTTGTATTTATATATTCGAACTACTTATGCACATAACCAAATTTTAGATTTATGTACTTGTAAAAAAAAAGTTAATTTTATGCATTAAATTAATATTGGAATATCCCTTTGTTGAGATTATTTAAAAGTTAGCCACATTGTAATTACTTTACTATTCTTTGTATAGGCCATTTTTGCAACTAGTTAGGCTATCATTGTAATGAGACAGTCAAGCTATTAGTTACATATATAAAACACTGCATGGATATTTTTCATGTAAGAGAGATTCATTTTATCCTCTCTATTTATTTCTCGAAACTTCTCAGTGAGAATGCTTTTCTTCTTCATCCATTAGAGTTTGATCTGAGCTTATCACCATTGTCGATCTTCCGCATTTTGTTATTGTATCAGAGCATAGGTTCTGATTCGTTCCCTAATCACTCGATTCAGTCGAATTCTGTCAAAGCTTCACTCATTTTTCTCTTCTTCGAGTTTTTTTTTATTCGCCTTGGTTAGGGCAAAATTGCAGAAGGTAAATACTCCTATTAATTTCTGATTGCTATTCGATAGTGAGACGATTTCTACATTTGAATCATGGAAACGGACAAGGAATCCCTAGATTCATCTAGCTCGTTGTACATGCATCCATCTAAGAACGCCGGAACGATGCTGGTACCGACGGCTTTCGACGGCACTTGTTATAGATCCTAGAGAAGAGGAGTGCTTAGGGCATTATCGGTGAAGAATAAAATCGGTTTTATCACTGGAAAGGTTAAGAAGCCAGATCCAACTCACGCCATATTCGATCAATGGGAACGATGTGACGATATGGTTACCTCTTGGATTCTAAACTTGCTTTCAAAAGATTTAGCTGATAGTTTATAGTATGTTAAGGATGCGAAGGAGTTATGGCAGGAATTGAAAGATAGATATGACCAAACTAACGGTGCCAAATTGTATCAGCTTCACTGGGTACTATACCAAAATGAAAAAGCTTTGGGAAGAACTTAGCATCTTGAATGCACACACTCAGTGCAATTGCACCTGCACTTGTGGAGCTAAAGCAAACATACACAAGGCGGAATAGGATAGAAGATTGATTCAGTTCTTAATGGGATTAAATGAGGTGTACACTGTGGTGAGAGGCAGTATCTTTGATGATGAATCCACTTTCCAGCATCGCACAAGCATTTTCCATACTAACTCAAGAGGAGAAACAGAGGGAAGTTAAGCCACACGGTCAGCTTGTGATGGAATCTACATCTCTTAATGCCAGTACATGAAACAATAATTTTAGGACCAATTACAACACAAGTGGATACAATAGTGGAAATGCTGGAAACAATGCAAACAGAGGAGGATACACTTCGAACAAACCTCGTCCATTTTGTGACTACTATAAGAGGCCATGACATAGTAAGGATAAGTATTTCAAACTCCATGGGTATCCTAAGAATTCAAGGTATCCCAGCTATGGCAACAACAATAAAGGGAAAGATTTATATCAAATGTGTTTGGAACACCAAATGATGGACCTAATGCTTTAGAAGTCGAAGGAGATCATCATGAAGAGGGAAGACTTATGCATCACCTAGCTCAAGATCAATATGGACAACTTCTCAACATTCTGGAAAAGCTCCAAGTAGGAAACACAAGGGAGAAGCCAGGAGACATGAAGCTGACTGGAGGAGCTGTGAACTTTGTAGGTACAGTCGCTTGTTCTTCTTCTATTGAGCATGATAAACAATTGCGTGAATGTTCTGATTCAAATGTTGATCAGTGGATCCTTAATTCCGGGGCCACAAATCATATGACCTTCAACAAGAAATTACTATGCAATGTCAAGACCTTAGTCTACCCCTACTTAGTTTCCTTACCCAATGGATACAAAGTGAAGGTGACACTCATTGGTGATGTGATCCTTAGTCCAAAATTCATTCTGAAAAAAGTACTTTATGTACCCAGCTTCAAGTTTAACTTGATTTCTGTTCACTCCCTAACTGCGCAACTAGATTGCATTATTATATTTACAAAATTCTCATGTTTTCTTCTACAGGGCCCTTCACTGAAGAGGCCACTGGAGATTGGTGAAGTGAAGGACAGCTTTTACTTTCATTGTACAAACTCATGCAAAAGTAACTCAATTCTACCTTCTACACTTGACATTGCTGCTTTGACACACACCTCACACACAGCACCTTGTGCATCCACTTCCACACACTGCTGTAGGAAAGATTGTTTCAAACAACAATAATGAATGCCATGTTTCAAATGTTTCTTCCTATCCTTCCTTTGATGCTCATGAATCTTGTAATTCTGTTCATGTTCCTAATGCATCTACTTATGAGAAATGCAATATAGATATTTTGTGGCATAATAGATTATGTCATGTACCTTTTGTCAAAATGAGGGGCATCCCAGCCATCTCAACTACCTTTGCACAAAAATAGTCATTTTTCTGCCCTGCTTGTCCAATGGCCAGGCAGAACAGATCTCCTTTCCCACAAAGTACTACAAAAATACTTAAAATCTTTGAATTGTTACATGTGAACCTCTGGGGGCCCTACCACATTCCAACCTATGATGGCTACAAATATTTTATTACCCTTCTAGATGATTACAGTAGGTCCACATGGACACATCTTCTCACTTGCAAGAGCAATGCTCTATACATTATCAAAGCCTTTGTTGTTATGGTAGAAAATCAATTCCAAACTACCATCAAAACAGTTAGAACAGATAATGGTCTAGAGTTTGTCAATGCTGCCAGCACCATATTTTTCCAAAGTAAAGGAATCATACACCAAAAGACTTGTCATTATACTCCTCAACAAAATGGGATAGTAGAGAGAAAACACAAATATCTCCTTGAAATAGTTATGGCATTGCTATATCAATCCAAGCTACCTTTGAAATACTAGGGAGAATGCATATTTGCCTCTACCTACCTAATAAACAAATTGACATCATCCTCCATAAAAAATAAGTGTCCATATGAACTACTCTACCAGAAAAAGCCACTTTATTCACATCTTAGGAGTTTTGGTTGCCTTTGCTTCCCAACCACTCTCAAAACATACAAGGACAAATTTGAACCTAGATCAACTCCACATGTATTCCTGGGATACCCTTTTGGGACAAAAGGCTACAAGGTATTAAAACTTGTCACAAAAAGGATACACATTTCAAGAGATGTATTGTTTCATGAAAGTATCTTTCCATTTAGTTCAAAATCAAGTTCTAATGATCTGTTTCCTAATCTTGATAGTTTTTCTTTTCCATTACCTCAAACGCACTTGAATGTAGAAAATCATGCACCACCAACCGATTCCAGCACAAGTGATTGTATTGCATCTCCCATTACATCACCTCACAATCACAATATGGTGTCACCAACACTTGTATCAGGGAACTAAGACTCTGAAAATGCCCAGGATACAAATGAATATAATGTCCTATCTCCACAGTTTCAAGACCAAAACAGCCCACTTAGTACTGCTAGTTCAACTGATTATAGCCAATATACTCCAACCTTACCTCCAGGAAATACTAGACCATCCAGAACTCACAAACTATCCACATACTTGAAAGATTATGTGTGTACACTACCCAAACAACATGTGAATGACCACCCTGTGAATAACTCACCTCAAGATGAACAAAGCACTTCTTCTCTGTCCTTCAATACCTTTATTCCTGAAGTGCAGCCCATTGACATTAGAGCCCTGGCCACTGATAGTCAACATTTGATAAAGAATATTTCACAATATTATGAACCTACATCATATGAGGAAGCAGTTGTTGTGCCTGCATGGAAAGCAGCAATGACTCAAGAGTTTGAGGCACTGTACACCAATAACACCTGGGATTTAGTGCCACTTCCAGCTGGAAAGAGGTCCATAGGATCTAAATAGTTGTATAAGATAAAGCACAAGACAGATGGAAGTGTAAAGAGGTTCAAAGCTAGACTAGTAGTGAAGGGTTATACTCAACGGGCTGGAGTAGATTATACTGAAATCTTTTCACCTGTTGTAAAGATGACAACAATAAGGATTCTGATTGGGGTAGCAGTTAAGAAGGGATGGGAAATGTTTCAATTAGATGTGAACAATGCTTTTCTTCATGGTGATTTACATGAAGAAGTATACATAGAGACACCACCAGGTCTATTTGTAGAACAACCTGGAATGGTATGCAGATTGAATAAATCCTTGTATAGATTGAAGCAAGTTAGTAGGCAATGGTATGCTAAGCTGACAGAAGCTCTTTGTTCTAGAGGGTATACACATTCTATGTTTGATTACTCCTTGTTTGATAAAGGCAAAGGGAATTTAGTAACATTTGTAGTTGTATATGTGGATGATGTTATTATCACATTATCTCACTTAGAAGAGATTACCAGCTTAAAGAAGTTCCTCCATGAAACATTCAGAGCAAAGGATCTAGGGAGACTGCATTACTTTCTAGGATTGGAGATACTCTATAAGAGTGATGGAGTTCTGATTACACAAAGAAAGCTCACTCAAGACCTTCTTAAGGAATTTGACTGTATAGGATGTACAACTATGACTTCACCTCTTGATTCAACAGTAAAGTTGAAAGCAGATGAAGGAATATCCCTTTCAGACCCTGGCCATTATAGGAAACTAGTTGGAAAATTGAATTTCCTTACAGGAACTAGGCCTGATATTGCATATAGTGTTCAACACTTAAGCCAATATATGCAGAATCCCAGAGACACTAACCTAAGGGCAGCAATACATGTATTGAGGTATTTGAAAGGAAGCTTATCTCTGGGGATTTTCTTGTCTAACAGTAGAGACTACAGGATAAGAGCCTTTTGTGACTCTGATTGGGCAGCTTGCACTGAAACCAGGAAGTCAGTCAGTGGCTACATAGTATTGCTTGGTGACAGTCCCATTAGTTGGAAATCCAAGAAGCAATCTACTATTTCATTATCCTCAGCAGAAGCTGAGTATAGAGCAGTAAGAAAGGTAGTTGGGGAATTAGTCTAGCTTGCAAGACTGCTTGAGGAACTCACAGTACCTCTATCTCTAACTATACCTGTTTTCTGTGATAGCCAAGCAGCACTTCACATTGCAAAGAATCTTGTCTTCCATGAGCGGACCAAACACATAGAAGCGGATTTCCATTTTGTACGAGACAAGCTTTAAGATGGACTGATTTCATTATATTACATCCCTACTCATGAACAACTTGCACACATCTTTACTAAATCTTTGCCAGGCAACAAGCATACTCTTCTACTTGGCAAGTTGGCTGTGCGTTCCCCACCTCCAACTTGAGGGGGTTGTTGAGATTATTTAAAAGTTAGCCACATTGTAATTACTTTACTATTCTTTGTATAGGCCAATTTTGCAACTAGTTAGGCTATCATTGTAATAAGTCAGTCAGGCTATTAGTTACATATATAAAACACTGTATGGATATTTTTGATGTAAGAGAGATTCATTTTATCCTCTCCATCTGTTTCTCGAAGCTTCTCAGTGAGAATGCTTTTCTTCATCCATTAGAGCTCGATCTGAGCTTATCACCATTGTCGATCTTCCGCATTTTATCACCCTTGACAAAGGGTTCCATTAAACGACAAATTTAAAATATCCAGTACCAACAATTACTCGTGATGCATATTTCTACCAACGTAACCTAATTCTTTTTGGAGTCCGGAGTTTGTGTTTGTCTGACCCCTTTGCTCAAGTGGGTTACTAGTTTTACTGATTTTAGGGGTCGACCAAGATGGTGCCAAATTAGGCTCCGAATTTGCGTTGTGGATGTTCTCAAACTTCTAAATTTGGAGGAACGAGAATTTTGCACACAAAGTATTGGGTGAATGAAAGTTTATACATTTCATTCTCGATATTTTAAACATCTGTATCAAGATATTTCTGGAATAAAAGGAGTTTTTTAGTATCGACAACACTAAGTAAAAATATTTCGCAGATAAAACGCTAGCGGCCATGAGAAACCAATTGTTTCACTGCTCCCATCTATAACGCGGGAAGAATTTAAAATGAATAGATTTATGAAATCTCATCAAATACAAATTCCCCGATAAATGACAAAATGAATGGAAGAATACACCAGAGGAAAAATACAAAGAATATTGAAAAAGGTCTGATAATAAAAATGTGGAAGAAAACGAAAAAGGAAAAGGCAAACTGCAAAATGACCCAAATCTTCCTGCATTACACTAATCCCGTGGGCCGTGGCTCACTATGTTGCGTCTGTCTACAATTTCATAATGTCATACCCCTTTTATCTTCAATAGGGTTCAGCCAACCATAATTCACAGACAAATGAAGAAATGTTGCAAGAGAACTATTTCCGGTCTTGTAGCAACAATTACCTTCCACAAATAGATAGAACAATTTCAAAGGATTCAAATCTTAATCAACACGGTCTTTAGCAGCAACTAGTTGCTTTACCTTTTCAAGAACACCAAAAAATATGGATCCTCCAATACCTATCCAAAGTACTCTTGCCCCTATTCCCTGTAATATACAATGGACAAGAATTAGCTTAATACTAATTAGCTTTTGATTGGTTGATCATCACAGCTATGTAAGTTAATTATCAACATTATTTATATAGATTATCATTTCCCGTGAGAATTCCAGGATAATTCTGTTGCCACATAAAATCAATTCCTGTGAGAAGTCCAACTGAACCACATTTCAACAATAAAGTCATAGTGCTTTTTACATAAAATTGTCAAGGAGATTTAAGGTACAAAGGAATTGGTATTGTTTTGGAACTTCTTTCCCACCCCCGAGATGAAAGATGTCAAGTATCATGTCACTGCTCATAAAAAGAAGAGGGAATGACTGAAGATGATGCTTCTATCAGATACAGCTAACACGGAGGCTATTCTGAAAATTTGTAGCTCAATTAGTATAAGAAAGTTTATGCCAATCCATCATCTGCACTCTTTTCTTTGCGGAAGGACAAGATGAAAATAGACATTATAGCCACTCTGTTCAGAATCAAACATACAGAAAACACAGGATGCAAAGTGCTGACCTTAAAAAGAGTGGAGGCTCCTTCTTCTTTTACAATACTGCTAACACAATGCAAAATGCCTTCATACTGCTTTGTTGAACCCTGCACGTAATGTAAATAAACAAAAGCAGGTGTTATGTTTTCAATAATGAATAAGAGAAGTGTAGTTAGAGAGATGTGAAAGGTGCCAAACCTGAATCATCAATCTGGTTTTTATCACATCAAGGGGAATAGTTATGGCTCCCGTTATTGCACCTGCAATTGACATAATACTCAAATGTAACAGATCCCCGAATATAAATTATTGCCATGATATTAATGCATAAAGGGTTTTACAATCAGAAGTAAATTGACGAAGGCTCCTTATATAGTATTGGCCTCTTGGGCAATCCTCACCTCATGAGCTAGCTATTGCGGTAGAATTAGGGCTTAAAGCTTATTTTTTTTAACATGGCAGAGTCAAACTCATCCCTATCTTGGTTCACCCAACGTTGGGCCCCCATTTTAATGCCCAGCTCCGGCCTACCGTAGTTGAGAATATGGGTTGTCGTCTCCTTATATGATCTTGCGCAATCCTTACACTGAGCTAGTGATTCAAGCGGACGGAAGAATAGGATAAAACATGGCACAGATAGTCTTCAACTTATAGAGCACATAGATTGTCTCATACCAAAAAATAAAAAAGGAAATCATGCAGGTCAAGCATATTGCTTTCAATAATGGCCAAAAAAGTAAGAGTTCGCTAAAATAACGTTTCTCTAGAATTCATGTCTCAACTAACACAGTTTTTTTTTTCTAATATATTTAAGCATCTCTCACATAGATTAATCCATAGGATTTTCCATAGACTACAAGGAAAAGGCTCTTGTGATCCTAATATGTGCCATGTTCATGTTTGGACATATATGGACTATTTCACTCTTTTAAAAATTACAGTGAATATACATGGATTGGTTCTTGATAAAAATTTCTGCATATCACAGGGTCAAGCTCAATAACTAAGATGATATCAGCAAAATTGGAAGTAATATAAGACATGTTGTTACCTGCAAAGGCACCAATCATTGCATTCTCAGGATCTTTAAGGTCCCTTTTTGCCTGCATTAAAACAAAATCATTTCTCTTCTCCGAGGAAAGAATATAAAAAATTACTTTGTAATTTTCTGGACAGAAGAAGTGTTTATATATAATCCCTGGGACAAAAAATTAATGTAATCTCTCTCGTAGTGAAAAGCAGAATTAAAATGAGCAGTTCTAGTTCAATGCGTACAGAAAAATATAGGGCAAAGGTCCAAATGTGCCCTTGTACTATATGAAATTGAGCACATTTGCCCTTCGTTAATACTTTAGCTCAAATATGTCCTTACCGTCACATAGTTGGTCCATATATGCCCTTAGAGTTACACAGTTGGGCCATATATGCCCTTTTCGAAACGGAATTCACCCAAACTAATTAGCTCTTTCGTTAATTGTATTAAAGTGTATTACAAACACTATTTCCTTTTTATTAGTACTTTTTTTTCTTTATCTTTATCTTTTCTTTCTCTTCTTCTCTTTTTTTTCCTTTTTCTTTCTCCCTTATCCGTTTCCTCCATTACTGATGTCTTCTCCATTTTCGTCACCAATTTTACTTGATAAAACTCATGAATTCCAATAACTAAGAAAATTCTGCCATAAGAAAATCAAGTTCCAATTTCACTGGTCCTCTAAATAAATGAAATTAAATTGTTCCAAAAATTATGGTTTAAACTTTAAAATAATAAAAGCATCTCAACCTTTAACAATACTCAAAAGACCAAAATATTTAAATTGTTTCCAGAAAGATAATTTAATGATTAAAAGCCTAGAGTTCAAGTTGTAGTGTTATAAATTTGAGTTGTTAGTCTTTTTTTCAGCTGGACATTTTCTATTTTTTTTATTAACTATGTAAATTAGAGGTGTACATGGAACGAGTTGGTTCAAATTTTTATCAAAATCAAACCAAACCAATTATATCGGTTTGGATTGTTCGGTTTTGTTGGATTTTCGGGTTTTTTGTTACATAAATATTATTTCAATCTTACTTTGTTAAAATTTTTATAACTAAATATATGTTCAGTAAAAATTAAAAAATTGACAAACATATGATCTATAAAAATATTCTTAAGGGATAATTTTCTTAGTAATTGGAATTCATGAGTTTTGTCAAGTGAAATTGGTGATGAAAATGGAGAAACATCAGTAATGGAGGAAATCGGATAAGGGAGATAGAAAAAGGAAAAAAAAAAAAAGAGAAGAAAAGAAAGAAAAGAGAAAGGTAAAGAAAAAAAAGTACTAATAAAAAGGAAATAGTGTTTGTAATACACTTTAATACAATTAACGAAAGAGCTAATTAATTTGGGTGAATTCCGTTTCGAAAAGGGCATATATGGGCCAACTGTGTAACTCTAAGGGCATATATGGACCAACTATGTGACGGTAAGGGCATATTTGAGCTAAAGTATTAATGAATGGCAAATGTGCTCAATTTCATATACTATAAGGGCATATTTGGACCTTTTCCGGAAAAATATATAAATGGATGAAATCTTCATGGTGTGCTACTCCACTGGTGCTTCAAATTTAGACAGTTAATGGGATCTATACACAAATAGCCAGCCGGATTCACTGTTTAATTTTTCTAGCCGATTTATATAAAGTATACACTGATTATATACGGTTATACAAATGTTATACATCCGTCGGCTATTTTTAGTTTAAGCGGTTGGGTGGGCGGCTATTTAGGTTAATTCTTCTCACTCAATTGCACCATAGAAAGAAAGACCGAAAAGTTCCATTGTAATTGCCAGCTCCTAGTGGTCCTTGTGTTCAAAGATAGATGGTGAATTTTGTTACTACAGACCTTTGACAGCATAACCATGATTTGAATTTGTCATGCATGATAGAACCAGTAACTTTTATTTTGATTGAAATTGATGAAATGTAAGCATCAACTTACAGCTAACTTATATCCCATCCGCAGTTGCTCGTATAAACAAAACTGGATTGCATCAAAAGGTAAGTCTCGCAGTAGAAAAGAGCCATAACCCTGCACTCAAGCAAGAACACAATGGAGCGTTCAAAAGGTTGGACAAAGAAACCCATCATTCAACTAGTGAATTTCTCTATCAAATTTCGCATATTTTTCCTTTTTCTTTTTCTAAATATTGTCTGAAATGTCCAGATTGTAAATAAACAGGAGTGTTTTAAATGGATATCAGTTTCTGATAAATTCACCAAAAAGACACCTACTTACAGCATAAAGGCCTCTAAACCCTTCCTTAGCAACAATTAGTCGGACTGCATCAGGGGCAGAAGCAAATTGGCCAGTCTGCATCCTTTGCTTAACTACCTGTAAGTTATCATATCTTAAATCTCTGAAGCAACATCAAAACCTAGGATGTGTGAATTAAGGTTTCAATTACCTCAGTGGGTACACGGACAATAGAAGAAACAGCTCCGCCTATAGCACCTGCAGTCTAAATGAAGTGTAAATAAGCTTTTCGTAATTCAATATATTTGAATTATGGAACATTTTATTGCTGTCCGTTCTCCTAATTTATTCACTGAAACTGCATAGTTGATTCGAAATACAGCAATGGACAGTTTAAACTTATCATCCCAAAATTATCATCTAAATCCATGTACATGTGTTAATTGCAAACCTACTTCCAGAAATAAGAATAGTGAGTGTCAAGGAGTTCCATTCCATCTTCAGGATTGTATTTTAACCCAGGATTTAATAGTCCAGTAGTAGATAATAATTCGCATTCCACAGATTTCCTGGGCCCACATCACTGAGAATTTAACATAAAGTAGGACTAAATAAGAAGAAGGTTTGCCTAACAGTTTATCAGTCTCAAAATACTTACCAAATGAGCTAAGGCACTAAGATTTTCAGGGAAGCTCTCCAGCAATTTTCTCTTGGTAGGTTCATATACACCAACAAATATTGCCGATGCTCTGAAAAGAAGATTATTTGAGTGACCAATCTACTTTGGTGAACAAAAGTAATGACTTAATGTATTCCAAAGAAGACAGTTCAAGATTTCCAAAAGAGTACAACATTTGAAAGCTGTAAGTTGATTTTAGAAACCCATGATATATAGAAGATTAATTACACAAACAAAGATCTAGCTACCATTCTATTGAAAGATACAAGTGCAGCACAGTAATTTTTCAGGTTCTTCTTTCACAAAAATATTAGAAGGTTTTCTATAACCTAATAGGTAAATTTTTATCATCATTAACCTGATGGTCAACATACAGCTTACTTTATTCGTTGCCCTATATCACTGAAAATAAATCAAACAATTAGAATAACATGAGTCCTTTCACATTTTCTTCCGCTAAATTGTAGATAACAATGGTTAAACAGCAGAATTTGATTAAAAGTGGATAACATAGCAGAGACATAGTCATCTGTTTTGAAAAAAACAATTAGTCTCTTTCTCTCGTGCTTATTTGTTTATTTCGGGGGGGG